AGAGAGAGAGAGAGAGAGAGAGAGAGAGAGAGAGAGAGAGAGAGAGAGAGAGAGAGAGAACATTCGAGTTATAGTAATGGGCACAAAATTCTAGCTGTCAAACGTTTGAGATATGCAGGAGGCCCAAGAAACTTATGGCAAACAAGGCCAGCAAGCACGGAACACCTTCTCTAGTCAAGGAAGGGGATCTGGTATGGGTGCGTGGCCATGGATTCCCGCTGGAGAAAAGGTGATATGCAGAAAACCTGCGATTGTTAGAAAGGCTGTGGTCGGCGGAAGTTCTGTTCTGGCCAAGGGGAATGCAGCTCGACAAAACTAAGGGAGTGAGTCACCGATTTTCATCTTTTGCACTTTCGCTGAAGTTTCACAGTTAAAGAAAAGAAAGAGGAACAGGAGGAAGCACTCTTGACTGTCCCCCCATTGGAGGTGAGAAGTAGGCGCAGCCATAGGCGCTGACATCTCTGAGGCAATGAACAGGAATTGCAGTCCCGGGGCGAGGTCCCACGAGCAAAGAGAATCGGATTGAACGCCTGAATCTAGACGTGTCCGTGGAAAGATGCAGAAAATCGAGATTGAACTGCTTTTCTGCATCTCTTCTCAAAACACGTCCAGATTCGGGAGCTTAATCCAATCCTCTTTGCCAGTGGGACCTCGCCCTGGATCGTTTCATGTTGAAGGGTGTGGCTGCATGCCCTGTCGGACATCTTTTCGGACATCTTTTCAGACACTTTGCAACATGTGTTTGCTATGGAAAAAGCACTCAGCAATTATGATTGGATGCGTCATAACTGCGAGTTGTAAGTACTCCCACTGCGCGCCAAGCTTTGCCGAAATGCCAGCGTGGCGTTTTTTGCTTTTGTTTTGGCTGGCGCCACTGGCCATTTTGGGCCGGTTGCCCCAAGCCTCCGATATTTTCCGGAGAGGCTCAATTGTGATTCTCAACTCGGCTGGGGGCCATGTAATGGTGGTTTAAGAGATGGAACACAACACCCCTCGAATCTTAAACCGCTAGTACATGGCCCCAGCCTTGCAGAAAGTTTTTTGTTGCCACAAGCGAAAATCAGAGGCGCCGCGCGGCCAGGCCGGCAGTTGGAAAAGAAACTTGGCGGCCTCCGAAGTGGTGCGGGTTTCATGCGTACACCCGCGGGCCGATATGTGGTGTACTGGTGCTTTAAAACCGCCAGTACACAGGCCCAGCCTTGCAAGATTTCTTCATGGGCTACTCCTAAAAATTCCATTTTGGTCCGGTTGCCCCAAGCCTCCGATTTTTTTCCGGAGAGGCTCAATTGCGATTCTCAACTTGGCTGGGGCCATGTACTGGTGGTTTAACAGATGGAACACAACGCCGCCCCACCAATCTTAAACCGCCAGCACACAGTCCCAGCCTTGCAAGATTTCTTCATGGCCTACTCCTCTAAAATTCCGGAGGCTCATGGCTACCGGGCCACAATGGCTGGCGGCACCAGCAAAAAAAAGGGAAAAAGGAAAAAAGTGCGCCGCTGGCGGTTTGACAAAGCTTGGCCCGCAGTGCAGCACCGCCAGGCCCAGGTGTACTGCTGGTTTAACAGATCGAACATAACACACCCCTCCTAAACCCTACGCCCCAAGTAACCCCAGATATCAAAGTTGCCATAACATTGTTTAGTGCTTTCAACCATACGCTCCTCACCACACCCCCCCCCCCCCC